TTTCAACTTGTAAATTGTTCTTACTTTTTATTAAGCTCAATCTTTCAAAACTCTTCTGATTTACTTTGAATCTGTTTATTTGCCATCTGTGGCCTTCTGTTCTCGTCTGTCTTCAAGTTTTTGATTTTTTATTGCTAAAATGCCTGGAACTGTTCTTTGTCATATCTGCTTTCTGTTGCTAGCATCATGTCTGGGTCATTACTTTCTTGTTCTTCACATACTTACTTAGTGCCTGTGCACTTGGCTTTATTCTTGAACTTTGTCGTCTTCTTGACTATTTTTCTCTTTTTTCATTTAATCCTCTGGCTTTTTTTCCTTTCTAGTTATTTTGCTTAAATCCGTCATTGTTCCAAGCTTTCAAGCTCTGCAATTGTTTTCGTTCTTCTCCTCCGGTGAAGCTTTACGTCATTCTATCATTGTCGTCAGACTTCGGCAATTCTCATTCCGGCTTCCCTCTTTCTGGTAAGCCACTGTTCCTCCTGGTTTTATTTCTTGTTGCTTTCCAAGAAGCTCTGCTTCATTGTTAATCACCATTGCTTGTTTTACCCGTTGTTTCCAAATCATCTTCTTGAATTTACACTGTTCAAATATCTGTTGATTTCTGCCACTGTTCTTGGCTTGACACTTCTGTACAATCTTTTTTTCTTGATTTCCTGATAGCTTCATCACCATTTTTGATTTACGAATTACATTCTTGTTTTTGTTTTCTGTGTCTTTTCCCAAAGTTTTGCTTTCAATCCTTGCTTTCAAAACGCCGAGGTGCCAATCGCCGAGAAAAGCTTTGATCAAACTCTTCAGGAGGTTGATGCTGAGCTCGTGGCTGAGAAGGCTACTGAGAAGTTCTTTCCAACTGTCTTCTGGGGGTGAGACACAACCTGCCGCTAATGCCGAGTAGTTTGCTTCTTTTTTGAAATTGATGCCGAGGTAATGGTAGAGAAGCTCCTCCAACTGACTGCCGAGGCTGAACCATCGTCGTCCGTCGAAGCAGATCAGTCCGACGTTATTGCCTTCAGTCCCTAGTTCTTTAAGGTCTTCATTTTTGTACTTGCCAACCTTCTCAGCTCTTAACAAGCTAGTTGGTCATCTCGGATGATCATATTGCATCATATTCCATTGCCCAAACAATCCCACAAAGTTTACAAAACAGAAATCCATATATACCCTGCAAAGAAAGACAATGTGAGCAGCTATCAAAACCTCCGACATTTTTGTACCCTAGTAGACCCCCTTTGTGATCCATAATTTCAGCAGTTCCATAGTTACAGAAACAGTAATTCCATTCCACAAAACCTTTTTAACTTGACCTCTTCAAATCCATGAATGCCCACCAGTCATGGACTATGAAAGAACAATTGCTGTGCTAATAAAGAAACAAGTATTTTTTTTATAAATATTACTGTGGTTGGCAAGTGATAGTTCTTATTTAGACAGTTAACTAATACCTTTATAGAAGTGAAGTTAATCGTATGAGATATTGCTGGAGCCACTAATAGACTAGGATCAAAAGCATCCACCACTGGCTGTACAGAAAGTAAAGGGGAGAGAGAGAGAGAGAGAGAGATCATTAGAGGTCACCATGATAAAAACAGAAAAGCCAACATAATTACTGTCAATAAACATGACAGACAGAAGTGTATGCACAGACACATTGTACTCGAAAGTTTCAAGAACCTTTGAACAATGCTTTACCATCAAGTTGATGGTAACCATGGCGTGCACACACGCACACACACACACACATTGTACTTGAAAGTTTCAAGAACCTTTCAACAATGCTTTCCTGCCAACACATTTATAATATGAGTGTTCAAATTGACCTAATTCAATTCATATGTGGAAACTGCAGGCAGCTTTTTTCTGTCAGTGACTGTATCAAGATTTACCACAATCTAACAATGTGAGTGTTCACAGTTTCTACTTTCAACTGGAATCCCTTAAAAGTTTCTCCTAATTTTTCTTTCTACACAGACCACATCATCCACATCATGGAAGAGAGAGAACTCTTCTAATGAAGACAAATAACAGATTCTTCCAAAAGGACACACCTCAATGAACATTGACCTGCCACAAATAAAATCATCTCAAACAAGCCTTGAGACCATCTGCTTTTTGTTATGATATCTTAAATAATGTCATTTCCATATGTTTGAAAAGATTTTGAGGGTGGCAATCCAAGGGGCGGGCTACCTTTCATAAAAAAAAAAAAATCCCACTGTGAACCAGTAAAATAGGGAATGATTCATGCTAGTGGATTTAATTATTAGTTATTTCAGTGTTAACAAGAGAATGAAATTTATTGACGTTCTAGAAGGTACACATACTTCAAAATTGCTTACAATCTAAGGTTATAGATAATCTGAATTAGATGTGCATGGACAAAATCTCCACTGCTTGGTAAAGAAGACACTCTTACAAATGGGATCAAAACTCATAAGCTTGGTGTGTACCCATAAGAAAAATTAACATTCTTCAAATGATTGCTACTTACAGCTATCCCAACTTTAACCAAACAAAGCCTTTAGTCCCATCAAATGAGGTCGGCTACATGAATCCTTCTTCTCTACTCCCAACTTTATTAATCAAAATACCCTTTCAGAGCTTTTAAATGGTGATGTTGTTCTTCATGGTGATTTTGTATAATAAGAAAATTTTGCATCACATACAAAAGATGTAACTTCAAAGAACTAACCTCAACAAACCAAACTCTATGTATCAACAACTAAATTATCAAAGGAAAGATCAAGAACAGGTTCAACAAATAAGATGCATTATAATGCACTTGTAGACATTGAAAGCCAAGCATAATAAGAAAACTGTGACACCATCTTAAAAATTCAATAATATTTGTAGTATTGCAAAGTAAGACGGACCTGAGAAAAGTACCCTTGGAAGGCAGATCCATATAAAGGTGTTAGATCAACCTCATAATAACTTCGCTGCTGCCAAAAGAGGGCCTGCGTAGATAAGAGTAAAAAATATTAGACCACTTTCATTGCCAAAAAAAACAAAACACAACAAAAAACAAGTTTTGATGGAAGTAAGAAATAAACAATATAAAGCAAATGGATGCATTTAGGAACAAGTGACCAAACAAAAATAAACTGATTCTAAAACAGAAGACAAAATTTTCCTAGTGAAGATATTATCTTCATTAAAGAAGAGCACAAGAGCCCAGCATATTTGCAAGGAAAAATAATGAAGGGTAAAAGCAGTGATATAATTTAATGTATCTTACCCAAAATTACAAATAATTCAATGACCTAATATTGTTTTTAGTCCCCTTTTTGCTTGTTTAATTTCTCAAGTAAAATAACAGCACAAACAAGTTCCTGATTTTTTGATCCAGGACTTTGTCCTAGTAAAATGCAGCGTGCACTACAATTTGCATACAAATAGGTGTAAGACTAATTCGATCACTATTTAATTGGATAGATTCCAAAAGGTCAGCTTACATTTAAAAACTGATTTTTTTTTTTGATAAAAAATAATTAAAAAAAAATACTGAAATTGAATTCTTTTGACAAGAAATAGGAGGGGAAAATCACCTACAATTGAGGTCGAGCAAATTTCACAAATTATTCTTAACCTTCACTTAATCACAGGGTACATGATAGTGATTAACCCTACAAATGCTTCAACTCATTTCACTTACCTTATTTGCAATCTCAACATACAAATATTCATCACTGAATGGTGCCATATGTATTCTGCAGGAGCAATCAAACTTAAACATCAGAACCCAAACAAATGACACATAACAAAGCACACATATTAATCTTTGCAACAAATATGATAAAACACAGTGAAACAAATATATGTAGGCACTCCTAGGGACCCTTGCTACACTTTGGGTTTAGTCAACCCCAAGCCCACTATATACCTAAGCCGCTAACAAATAAATAAATAAACAACACCTACGCTCCCACTTATAGTCCATAGTGAAAATTTAAAAACTGTTCCTGACATAAATATCAAAGAAAAACACAAAAACAACAATAATTAACATACTTAACAACCTAAGCAAGGCGTAAAGCTAGAATCCTGACAACTAACATGGTTGCTTTTGAATTGAGTTTCTTCCATCTCTTATAGAATTTCCCATATGTTCCGTGCATGATATTTGCACCATAACGCAAGCAGAAAAGTCAAAGCACATTAGTTCACAGAGGGAAGTCAAGCTAGTAACTGAAAGTCTTTTAATTTAATACAGGAGATTAAGGGAGTATGACAATGAGAACCATTAAACATTTTTCCATGGTATTGTGTGGGTACAAAAATCATTAAGATCATAGAAAATAAGACATGTACAATCACCTTCCAATCGTAGGAAACATCTTTCCGCTAGGAATAAGGAACAGATCCCTTGCAATTACATAGGTCTCCAGCATTCTTTCATTGACTAACAAGGTCCCTAAAGGAAGAAAAAAGGATTCTAAATGAGACTTCATTTTGTGGATAAAAAACAATAGATAATCTCCCCATCACTATTAATTGAATAGATTGTCCAACATGCAGATTGGGCAAGGTTGCCATTCTAAAATACCACAATGAGTCACTTTTTTAATAGATATCTTTCCCAATTTTCACTTGTGTCCAAGCATATGCTAATTTCATGCCAATTCTATAATGTTACAAAAGTGTCTCCATTACTTAACCAAAAAAGAGGGTTAAAAACACACACACACTTTGTAACATAACGCTGATGGTGTGACTAAATTGCATAGCAATAATAATAAAAAAGACAACCATGGCATTATATGTTTAATATCACAGAAAATGCCATAGTTAACTAGAATTTATCAATTGCACACATGCCATTATAAGCTTACCCACTGGCTCCGAGATCAAAATATCTGCTTTCTCGGGCAATTCAACTTCTTCAACTTTACCCTTGACTACCTATAATTTAAGTGAAAACATGCCCCCAAAAAGAATAAGAAACAGTGTACTAGCTCCATTAACATTTAAACTGAAATGTAAGAAAACAAAAAATTGCACCGTAATTCTTTGAGCCAACAATGGGTTCCCAGCAATAAGTTTGCGAGCATATTCTGCCATTTCAGATGCTTCCACTGCATAAACATGTTTAGCACCAGCCTAATATGAGAAAAAAAATTGAGGCAAAAAAAAGAGAGGATGGAGTTCGGATAGAATTCTAGAAGACCAACAAACAAGGATAAATCTATTATGTCAGTATATTTTCATGCACAAACACAGACAAAACTTAGGCAATCTGAGCGGCAAATAACGACAGAATACTGCCACTAGCACCAACATCCACACCCACACAACCCACAAAATCAGTGCAATTCTCAATGACTGCAGCATAATAAGTTTCTGAAACAAGCATGTTTATCATGTCACACACATGCACCTTGTGATCTATAACTCCTCGGTATAGACATGCATTTCTTTACAATTAAGGAAAACACAATTGTTTGACAAGATACAAAGCATTTTACCAGCAGCACAATGGCACATATACCTATAACAAAGAATTTTTAATTATAAACACAAAAGGCAAACACCTACAACAAGAAGCAATTTTCTAGTACTTGTTGATCATTGGCGGATAAACACACTATTTTTTTTTGGTAAATTGACACATGCTAGGCACGCGTCATCTTTCTGAAAACAAATTTTTGGCAACCAAACTTTTGGTTGCCAAAAATAAAAAGTAAATTTTTGTTTTTCATTCGGCGACTAAATAATTTTAGTAGCCAAAAGTAACTACACAGAGACTAAAATAATAGTTGGTCATTGAAAACAAGTTTTTGGCTACCAAACTTTTGGTCGCCAAAGATAAAAAGTAATTTTTTGTTTTTCATTCGGCGACTAAATAATTTTAGTAAAAGTAACTACACAGCGACTAAAATATTAGTTGGTCGCTAAAAATAAGTTTTTAGCTACCAAACTTTTGGTCGTCAAAGATAAAAAGTAAATTTTTTTTTTCATTCAGCGACTAAATAATTTTAGTAGCCAAAAGTAACTATACAGCGACTAAAATTTTTTTTTTGTCGCCAAATGTAGCATATTTAGCGACTAAAATTCTTTTTAGTCTCCAATTGTGGAATTTTTAGCGGCTACATTTTTTTAGTCGCCAATAATCAATATACCCCAACTAAAAAGTAAATTAGTAGCTAACTCTTGTATTTTTGCCGACTAATATAATTTCTAGTAGCCAATTCCACAACTTTTGGTGACTAAATTTTTTTTGGTCGCCAAAAGTGTAATTTCTTGGAGTGACACTTCCATCTACCGTCACTAAATTGCATCTCTTTACTATTGTCTCTGTTGGTTTCCATTGTATATGACTAAACCATCTCAATCTATTCTCCCTCAGCTTATCTTCTATCAGTACTACTTTTACCCATTCTCGAATATACTCATTCCTAACTCTGTATTTTCTAGTCTTGCTACACATTCACCTAAGCATTCTCATCTCAACAATACTCATCTTATCTACATGCTGTTTCTTAGTTGTCCAACATTCTATCCCATACAACATCGCTGGTCTAATACCTGTTTTATAGAACTTCTCTTAATTCAACTGGATGTTTGAAAACATTGTAGTTTGCTCTTTTGTATGGCATATTTTTCATTTATTTTTCCCCTTTTCAGATCATTCAACAGTTTGCAATTGTTGATTTATCAAATTTCTATTTTGATGCTGCCAAAGATCGACTTTATGTTGGGTACGTTACTTCACATCATAAAGAACTATATCTTTAGGTACTTCTTTTCTTACTTTACATCATAAAGAACTAAATAATTCCTTGCGTGTGATACCTTTACCACCTAGCTATCATTCTACATTTTTTGGCACGAGAGATGTTGCAATATTGATGGTTAATGAATTTAGATTTTGTTTGCCATGTAGGTTTTCTGCATTCACTGTTTTATGATTTTCAATTGTCAACCTAGTATGGGGCACCCTATTTCTCATTTTCCCTTATTGGCCTCTGCACTTTAGCTAAAATGTTGATTCTGCTGCACCACATAATTGATTTATATGTTCTATATTCACATCTTGTAAAGAAAAGTGATGGCTTAAGTGTACATTGAATTCCTGACCCAATACTTCTAGTTCCCATAATGTTGCGAAGTGCATTTTTTTTTCCCTCCTATTAATACCCAATACTTAACTAATTTCTGTTCATTATAAAGGTGGTTAATTTTTTGAAACTGTTGGTTAATTCACTTTGACCCCTTGCATTTCAAAATGTCACATGTACATGCCATGTGGTCATCTTAAAGTGTTTTATTTTTTATTTTTTGGGTACATTGGAAATTGTCATCTTAAAGTGTATTATGCCATTTAAAGGAATACCACATGAGTGTCATGTATGAAAAATGTAAAATTATCATCTTAATGTTTCAGTTTTGGTTGAGCTTGAGACATTTCCATTCAATTTAACTGTTTGACAAATGTAACTTACATAAGTTGAAAAAAAATTGATTATCTAAATGTTAGGAAAATTGTGCTTTTAACTTTTTCTTTCTAATTATCAACTTACAACTTGAGAAAAGTTGTGCCGCCCGATGTTTATCTTTAATTTTTTTCAGGGGCTCTACAAGTTTTACAAGGAGAAGTTGTCAAACAGTTCTTGCAGCACATCTGCTTTCCATTGTGAGGGTAATTGCTCCAATACTTACCTCATTTGGCTGAGGATGTTTGGCAGAATCTTCCTTTTCAGTACAATACTAAAGATGGTTCAATTGCTAAATTTGTTTTTGAGTCAAGATGGCCGGTATTGAGCGAAAGATGGCTTGCTTTCCCTGACAAAGAAATCGATTTGTGGGAAAATATTCTTGTGGTAATTTCTCTGTTCTTGAACTGAAGATTAACTAACCTAAGATGACTATTTGTGCTGTAAAACCCAAGTTATGTGTAGGATTATTTTATTGGATAGATTAGTAATTAAATTAATTTATAAGGGTCATTTATTAATATCAAAGAATTTGTTATGAGATGGCATTATATTTTCTATTACTTAGATGGGTAATTTTGTAACTTTGAGAAATTAGGTTAATAAGTCCACTTGTTGTGGCTTTAAATCTTGGGAAACAAACAAAACAGAGGCTAGGAATTGCTCCATAGGCGGCAAGGGTTTGAGAAGGTAAAAGAAAAAAAAAAGAAAAAAGAAAAAGAGAAGAGAGGTTCCAGTGAGGCTGCAATAGGGATTGGAGGCAACATGTTGGGTGATTTTGGGACACCCATTGGTTGAGGTAAAATCTGCCTGTACTGTTGATTATTAAGTTTATGTTGAGGAATTAAACAATCAATGCATTAAGGGGATTTCGAAGATCTATAGGTGCCTACTTAGGTTTTGAGAATTGGGTGCAATGTGTAAGTGTAACTTTGGGTGGGTAATAGAAACAATGGAGTTTTGTATCATGGGTAAGGGTGTGTTTGGCTATAAAGTTGGGTTGAATGGTTTGATCTCTTGGATATTGCAACAATACATTAATCTAATATAGTGGGGCTTTTGTGGGTGTATGTAACACGTAAAAATATTAATTTATTTGAAGTTTTATTTATTAGGTTTGTGTGATTGAAGTGGTGGAGCTGGGTGTTTGGAGTTGGTGTTGGTATATTACTTCTAAGCATTTGAGGTAAGTAACCCTCTATCACTGTTGGTTCATTTTTATTCCTATTGAATCGTTTAAAATTATAAATATATATTTATAGCCTCCATATTCTCTTAAAATAAAATATGGGTCAAGTATAAAACAATTTCGAATATTATTATGAAAATTATTTGAATATTTTGTGAAACTATTCTGAAAATTATACTAAAATGTTTATTCTGAACATATCGAATATTTTATTGAAAAGTTGTGTATTGTTTGAATTTTGAATATCACTCTAGTCTGACTATGATTTGGACCCTAGCCAATGAGGGTTATTTATTGGCACAGAAACTAGTTTCTTTTGGGGCTTTACCACCAGCCTGTGTGGTTCTGGGCCTTGTCACGGGCTAAGTGACCGTAGTCACCAAGACTTGGGTTTTGTGAATCGCATTATCGAACCATTGAATATCGAACCATCAATTTGAACAACGAAATTTCGTCGAATCACCTCATTGTCTTTTCAATTAAAATGTATTGCTACACTGTTTATTTTTAGCAATGAAACCATCTTATAAAATAATTGTTCATTTATTGAATGGTAGCAAAAAATATATTTATTGGTTATCGACTATTTTTTTTTTTTTTTTTTTTTTTTTTTTATCCAGCTAACATTGATGGTTGGATTTACTGGGCTGTCTAGTTTACCCTTATTTTTTTTTTCAGATTCTGAGGAGTAGAGCTGGGCGGGGTTTTTACTTGTGGGAGTGCCGAGAGTAGGACTATGATTTAAGTACTTGGATTATTATTTTTATTAGTGGACTTGGTGGACATTTTCATATGATAAGAATTATCTATATGTATGATTTTTAGCACTATGATATTTAAGGATTTAATTTGAGTATTTTACATTGTAGGTTATGTGTTGGACTCTTAGCCTTGCATGCTCACTTAAATGAGTGTGTGGCGTTGTCACGGAGCTTGGGGCGTGACATGTGCAGTTCAAGTGTGTTCTTATTTACAAATAAAATATGTTTGTTTTCATTAGTGGATGACATTGGCTTAAGATATTGTTGCATACCTTTATCTATAAGCAAATATCATTTGCACAAGAAAGGTACTATAAGTATGTTTTGTGCAACATGAATTTTTTTCTTCCAAATTTTAGTACTTTGACCAGCTGCGAACTGAGGTGAATAAAGTCCTGGAGGTTGCTCGTACCAAGAAGTTGATTGGTTCTCTAGTCTAGAAGCAAAGGTCTATCTTCACACCTTGGATGACAGCTTGGCCACAAAATTAAATGAGATGTGTGAAGCCAAATTTAAATAATGCCCGTGCAACTCAAATCTACTAGTCCATTTACCTTATCCCTCTGCTGTCAGGTAATTTATGTTTGGTTTGATTTTCAATTTTTTTTTTTTTTTGAAAAATTAAAAATTAATTTGATGAAAGAAAAAAAAATTAAAAAACAATTATCATTTTCACATTATTTAATTTTTTGGGAGGTCAAAAATAATTTTTAAAATATTTTCTTAATATTTATTTTTATCAAATTAGTTTCTATTTTTTTGAAAAAAATGTTGATTTTTTTTTTCTAAAAAAGAAAACAAACAATTACATTGATTTTTGCAAAGTACATTTGCTAAAAAATATAAGATGTATTTAAAATTTCGAATTTAAGAGATTTTTTCTTTTTTTTTTTGGCCCACAAAGAAAAACTATTGTAACTGAAATAGAGTGATAACAATATATACATCTTGGCCACCAATTCCTAATATA